TGCAAGTTTGGTTCAACATCCGCAAATCAGTCAATGTGATACAATACATTAACAAAAGAAAGAACAAGAATCATATGATCCTCTCAATAGATGCAGAAAAAGCATTTGACAAAGTACAGCATCCTTTCTTGATCAAAACTCTTCAGAGTATAGGGATAGAGGGTACATACCTCAATATCATAAAAACCATCTATGAAAAACCCACAGCGAATATCATTCTCAATGGGGAAAAACTGAGAGCTTTCCCCCTAAGGTCAGGAACGCAGCAGGGAAGTCCACTATCACCACTGCTATTCAGTATAGTATTAGAAGTCCTAGCCACAGCAATCAGACAACAAAAAGAAATCAAAGACATCCAAATCAGCAAATAAGAAGTCAAACTCTCACTCTTTGCAGATGATATGATACTTTATGTGGAAAACCCCAAAGACTCCACCCCAAAACTGCTAGAACTCATACAGGAATTCAGTAAAGTAGCAGGATATAAAATCAATGCACAGAAATCAGTGGCATTCCTATACACCAACAACAAGACAGAAGAAAGAGAAATGAAGGAGTCGATCCCATTTACAACTGCACCCAAAACCATAAGATACCTAGAAATAAATCTAACCAAAGAGGCAAAGAATCTGTACTCAGAAAACTATAAAATACTCATGAAGCAAATTGAGGAAGACACAAAGAAATGGAAAAACGTTCCATGCTCATGGATTGGAAGAACAAATATTGTGAAGATGTCAGTGCTACCCAGAGCAATCTACACATTCAATGCAATCCCCATCAAAATACCATTCACTTTTTTCAAAGAAATGGAACAAATAATCCTAAAATTTGTATGGAACCAGAGAAGACCCCGAATAGCCAGAGGAATGTTGAAAAAGCAAAGCAAAGCTGGCGGCATCACAATTCCGGACTTCCAGCTCTATTGCAAAGCTGTCATCATCAAGACAGTATGGTACTGGCACAAAAACAGACACATAGATCAGTGGAACAGAATAGAGAGCCCAGAAATGGACCCTCAACTCTCTGGTCAACTAATCTTCGACAAAACAGGAAAGAATGTTCAATGGAAAAAAGACAGTCTTGGGGCACCTGGGTGGCTCAGTTGGTTAAGCGGCTGCCTTCGGCTCAGGTCATGATCCCAGGGTCCTGGGATCGAGCCCCGCATCGGGCTCCCTGCTCGGCGGGGAGCCTGCTTCTCCCTCTCCCTCTGCCTGCCTCTCTGCCTACTTGTTCTCTCTCTCTGTGTCAAATAAATAAATAAAATCTTTAAAAAAAAAAAAAAGGAAAAAAGTCTCTTCAACAAATGGTGTTGGGAAAATTGGACAGCCACATGCAGAAGAATGAAACTGGACAATTTCCTTACACCACACACAAAAATAGACTCAAAATGTTGAAAGACCTAAATGTGAGACAGGAGTCCATCAAAATCCTAAAGGAGAACACAGGCAGCAACCTCTTTGACCTCAGCCGCAGCAACTTCTTCCTAGAAACATCGCCAAAGGCAAGGGAAGCAAGGGCAAAAATGAACTATTGGGACTTCATCAAGATAAAAAGCTTCTGCACAGCAAAAGAAACAGTCAACAAAACCAAAAGACAACCGACAGAATGGAAGAAGATATTTGCAAATGACATATCAGATAAAGGGCTAGTATCCAAAATCTATAAAGAACTTACCAAACTCAACACCCAAAGAACAAAAAATCCAATCAAGAATGGGCAGAAGACATGAACAGACATTTTTCCAAAGAAGACATCCAAATGGCCAACAGACACATGAAAAAGTACTCAACATCGCTTGGCATCAGGGAAATCCAAATCAAAACCTCAATGAGATACCACCTCACACCAGTCAGAATGTGTAAAATTAACAAGTCAGGAAACGACAGATGTTGGCGGGGATGCGGAGAAAGGGGAACCCTCCTACACTGTTGGTGGGACCGCGAGCTGGTGCAACCACTCTGGAAAACAGGATGGAGGTTCCTCAAAAAGTTGAAAATAGAGCTACTGTACAATCCAGCAATTGCACTACTAGGTATTTACCCCAAAGATACAAATGTAGGGATCCGAAGGGGTACGTGCACCCCGATGTTTATAGCAGCAATGTCCACAATAGCCAAACTGTGGAAAGAGCCAAGATGTCCATCGACAGATGAATGGATAAAGAAGAGGTGGTATATATATACAATGGAATATTATGCAGCCATCAAAAGGAATGAGATCTTGCCATTTGCAACGACGTGGATGGAACTGAAAGGTATTATGCTGAGTGAAATAAGTCAAACAGAGAAAGACATGTATCATAGGACCTCACTGATATGAGGAATTCTTAATCTCAGGAAACAAACTGAGGGTTGCTGGAGTGGGGGCAGGTGGGAGGGATGGGGTGGCTGGGTGATAGACATTGGGGAGGGTATGTGCTATGGTGAGTACTGTGAATTGTGCAAGACTGTTGAATCACAGATCTGTACCTCTGAAACAAATAATGCAATATATGTTAAGAAAAAAAAAAAAGAAGAAGATAGCAGGAAGGGAAGAATGAAGGGGGGAAATCGGAGGGGGACGAACCATGAGAGATGATGGACTCTGAAAAACAAACTGAGGGTTCTAGAGGGGAGGGGGGTGGGAGGATGGGTTAGCCTGGTGATGGATATTAAAGAGGGCACGTTCTGCATGGAGCACTAATGAATCATGGAACACTACATCAAAAACTAATGATGTAATGTATGGTGATTAACATAACAATAAAAAAATTAAAAAAAGAAGAGCCCAAGGAGGGTAGCTCCACATTTTCAACCTGAGAGAGCAGGAGAGTGGGGGTATCACCAAAAGAAATGGGTAGTTAAGAAGTATTATTCCTGTAGGTTGTTAAATCAGATAGTGGTTGGAAATCCAGTGACTCTTTACTCCCTGGTTAACCATGGGCAAGTCTCTTAGCTTCTCTGAGTCTCAGTTTCCCCATCTTTTCCTGGAGCATAATCTTCCCTCACTCTCATGTTTGTTTTTGGTTTGCTGATCAAGTGATGCAGTAGATTCAAACCTGCTCTGTCAGGGGTCAAGCCATGTGCACCTGTGGGCTGGCATCACTCCTGTCAATATGTTATTACTAGAGTCAGACTGTAAATGGAGACCCAACTGTCTGTGTCAGGGGTCATCCCACTGTGACCCGTGGACCCACCCATCTGGCCTGCTACCCATTTTTGTATGGCCCATGAACAAAGAATGTCTTTTACATTTTAATATGGTTGAAAAAAATCAAAAGAAAGATATTTGTGACCTATGAAAATTACATGAAATTCAAAGGTCAATGTCCATAACTAACATTTATTGGAATATAGCCAAAACCCATTAATTTATGCACTATGAGTGCTTTCACACTGCAATAGCAGAGTTGAGTAGTTGTGACAGAGATTGTATGGCCTGCAAAGCTTAAAATGTTTACTATTTGGCTCTTTACAAGAAAAGTTTGCCAATCCCTTGTCTACACTTTTTGGGAGGTGTTTCTAGTCTGCCACTCTGTGTCCTTTCTTCCTATCTGTTGAAGCTCCTGGACAGGAAAGGAAATTTAAGGAAATCTTGAAGGGTTTTTGTTGGCTTACTAATTTCTTTGATAATATTTGTCTTCTTTTTTCCTTTTCCATGCTTTTCAAAATAGAATTTTTATTCAACGCTGAATCATTATTATAACTTTAAAAGGCAATTAAGGATGAAGAACCCCATTACTAACTTCAAACTATCCTTAATATGACCCTACAAACCATAAGAGACTCTTTTTTTTTTTTAGAGTGAGAGAGAGTGGGAGAGGCAGAGGGAGAATCTTAAGCAGACTTCATGCTCAGCGCAGAGCCAACTCAGGGCTTGATCTCACGACCATGAGACCATGGCCTGAGCCAAAATCAAGAGTTGGACACTTAACTGACTGAGCCACCCAAGTGCCCCAAACCATAAGAGACTCTTAATGATACAGAACAAACTGAGGGTTGATGGAGGGAGATGGGTGGGGGATGGGCTAGATGGCTGATGGGTATTGAAGAGGGCACTTGTGATGAGCCCAGGGTGATGTATGTAAGCGATGAATCACTGAATTCTACTCCTAAAACCAATATTGCCTTATATGTTAACTAACTAAAATTTAAATAAGAAAAAAAAGAAGAAAAGAAAAAAACCCATGGCCATTCTAACACATGTTTTCATTTTGAATGATACTTGTTCTGTTCTCAGCATATGTACTTCCAAATGGTTGTAATAATGGTCTACTTAACACTTCAGGGTTGATGTAGGCCTTTTCGGTGGCTTTTTAAACTGTTACTTGATTATTACCTTTATTTTTTAATAGTGGTTGTATTGTGATGGAATGGTACAGTTTATAAGCTATATGTATTTCAGAAATACTTCCTCTTTTTGCCTTTGGTCAAAATTTTTTCTTCAACTGTGGATGCAAATGCTTCTCTTTGGAGCCAGTGCCCATTGTCCCTTCCTACCTTACTTTGCTGGGATATTGATGCAAGTGCAGAATACCCACTGAGCTTAAAAACTGAGAAAGATGAGTAACGTTAAGGAGAAAATGTCAGATAAGAAATGAACTTGGTAATTAATTAATAAATTAATTGATTAGTTTATTTATTTATTTGATGGTACATGGGTTGGGAATGAACTTGATTCTTTAAAGGTGATTTCCTATCTCCTTACCCAGACCTCCCCCAAAGCATTAAATAGTAATACAAATACGTTTAACAAATAAAAAATATTCTCTGTTCACCTAATGATGATGTGAGGGATATGTTTGTGCTTTCTGTTACATTTTTAAACAAATGAGAATAAAAACAAGACTCATGCTGTCATTATTACTGTTAATACTGTTGACCCTTTCACTACATTTCATACAATAAAACCAGTGTATCAAATTAACTTAATACCATGAAATGTAGGTTATCGAATTAACTCAATGAAATATAAGTAAGAAGATGGATATTTACATTTTATTCTCTTATTTTCCCTAGTGAGAAGCTGGATGGAAAAACTAAAAGACAAGGTAAGAGAAGTATTTTCTTCCTTTGGATTTATCTTAAAGGGCATGGCTTTGTCAAATAAAAGATCTTCAGAGTAATGGAGCCTTAATTCATCATTCTGATTCTGGTTATCTGTGCAAAGATGCAAGGCCACTTCCGGGTGCCCAACAAGAAGGAAGACCTTCCCTTTAAGTTCCTTCTTGATTAACACAGGGAACCTTGTTCTTTGAAGCGCCATTCCTTCTTATGAAGGCATTATCTACTATGCTCAGCGGGAAAATATCCTTGACATATCAAGGTGGAGTTTCTTCTAGGGATCAGCAGTGTAATCACAATTTATTGGCTATTTCTTGTCCCAGTGCCAAAAACCCAATGCCAAGTTCTTGTAAGCCTGACCCTCTGTATGAGGAAGAAATACCTTGGATTTTGGAAAGCATTGATTCTTCTGACCCACCGGCAAAAATTGATGGACTTGAGTTAAGAATAAAAGTTTGGGATGGAAAGAGCATCCTTAGGGGCACCTGGGTGGCTCAGTTGGTTAAGCGACTGCCTTCGGCTCAGGTCATGATCCTGGAGTCCCGGGATCGAGTCCCGCATCGGGCTCACTGCTCGGCGGGGAGTCTGCTTCTCTCTCTGACCCTCCTCCCTCTCATGCTCTCTGTCTCTCATTCTCTCTCTCTCAAATAAATAAATAAAAATCTTTAAAAAAAAAAAAAAGAAAGAGCATCCTTAAACCACAGTGGGGGTGGTTTGGAGTAAAAACACCTGGACACCTGAGCACTCTCCTTAGATCAACTTTTATGTAGTCTCTCATAGTGCTACTACATACTGGGTGACAAAGGGCTGACTTGCCTGGAATGGCCAACAATAGAAAAATATTTCTCTCTTGTGTTAATTCTGCCATCTATGTCTATGATTGACAATATTAACTTCCTTCCAGGTTCCTGTTTTTCATTTTCTTTTGATTTTCAACTCTCTCCAAGTTTACATTTTTTGGTTACCTTAGAATTTTAAACTGGAATTACTCATAAAAATATGGAATTCTGAATTCCTTGCTGTAGCCTGTCAGATCTCATTACTATAACCCAGCTCAGATTTAACTGGGGGTTTAGTGAATGGAAATCTTTTCAATTGCCACATATTGAGTTACCTTTAAATCACCAGTCCCAACATATACTTCTGTTGATGGCATTCCATATCTTTTTTATTATTTGGAGTCAGTTCTCCCCGTATTTGGATGATTAATGTTTATTTTGCTGCAGCTTATTGTTAAAGAATAAATTACAATGAAAATTGTAAGATTATATTCTCATCACTATCTTTGTGCTTCTCAGTAAAATTTAGCATAGATGGTTTTAAAATGAGACTGTTTTGTGGTCATACTTATTAAAAGTGATGTCGAAAAATTTTAAGCATGTTGAGGTTAGTGGAGGCCATTTTGGTATCTGTAACAGGTCCAGTTGTCTAAGGGAGGTATGATCGGATGGACTGAGCAGGATTTGGGGGAAATAAAGCTCAAAAGTTAAGAACTGAACACACTTACATTAGTAGTGCTTCTTGTTATTTTTCAGAAGAAAATAGGATGCAATGAAAAGGAAATAGGCTTTGGTAGATTAATTTAGGAACCCATATATCATTGTTTCTATAGAAAATATCCTCTGAGTAAAATTGTGTACCAGAAAACCCTTAAGAGAATAAATTTTTACATGTCACCAGTTTTGAAGTTGGATATTGCAAAATTTCTTACCTGTATCTATAGATAGCTTTGCCACAATTAAAAAAAAAATCTATGCAGCTTAGAAAGTTTGTATTTTCTATTTCTGTAGACCCTTCTTATCTTGTCTCAAAGGCCTGGCACCTTCTTGCTATCATTTTCACCAAGAGAAATAATTTTATGTGTGACCTTAGTTTTCTGGATTATTTTGAGTTTTTCCAGCCTTCTCTCTATTTTCTTCTGGAGTATTTTTTCAGCATGTCTTAATTAAAAAAAAAATAGAAGAAAAATAGTTGAGATTCTGTGTTTGGCTTATTTGATGCCTTATTTCTTCATATTTTGACTTTCTTGGAGGGACTCACTATAATCTTTCCCATATCCCCACTTCCCCTGTTGTGTAAAATATTCTACACTTACCTGCGACATGCCTTCTTATGTGCACCCACACATACGTGTGTACATATATGTATCTTCCACTCTTGCTTCCCTCCTTCATGTGTCTAGCTAGCTAGCTAGTTGGCTCTCATCTATAAAAGTCTTGTTAGTCATTATCTTCAGAAACTATTTGAGAGCGAAACTATTGCCTCTTTGATGAAAGTCACAGAATCCCTTAGAACTGGAAACTAAATATTTATTTAACTGGCTCTTTGGCCAACCAGGACATCTCAGTTTAGCATTATTCAATTGTACCTGATATTGGTATTTCTGTTAGTTAATTTCGCTCTAGAAAGAATAATGTTCTAAAAAGTTCTGGGGGTGCCTGGGTGGCTCAGTTGGTTAAGCATCTGCCTTTGGCTCAGATCATGATCCCAGGGTCCTGGGATCAAGTCCCACATCGGGCTCCCTGCTCAGTGGGGAGTCTGTTTCTCCCTCTGCCTCTGCCCCTCCCCCTGCTTGTGCACGCATGCTCTTTCTCTCAAATAAATAAATAAAATCTTAAAAAACTTAAAAAGTTCTGAATTATTCCTTTTACAGTTGTTTAGTCTTTCTATATTAGCTAGGATTAAGATCAGCTATGAATGACAGAGAACCCCAATGACAATGGCTTAACCAAGATAGAAGTTTTTCTCTCATTTATGAATCTGGAGGTAGCAGTCAAGGGTTAATGGGGAGCAACCCTCTGACAGGGACTCAGGCTCCTTGTATTTGATGTTCCACCATTTGTGACCTTCATTGCCAAGGTCACCTCAAGGTCCTGGATGGCAGTTCCAGCTTAGCTAGGTCCATGTTCTAGCCAGGGGAAGGAGGATAAGGGAAGGTGAAGACACCTCTTCCCCCTTAAAAGGAAGATAAAGGCACTCTTATTCTCAAAACGTGGGGGATAAAGGCTGTGCTCCCCTGTTGAAGAGCAAGTCGGGAAGCTGCACCTGCCACTAATGTTTTCTCTTCTGAGTGAGATTTATCACATGGTCACAGCCAGCTGCAGAGAAGGCAGGGAGCAGTGATCGTTACTGTGCGCCCTGCTGAAATGGGAGGTTCTCTTGCTCTGAAAGAAGAGGTGAATGGCCATTGAGGGACAGTCCCTATACTCATTCCATCATTACTCTTCTTTCTGGCTTAATGTCCAAGTTAGTGATGCTCGTTAGGCAAATCCTAACTTGGCTACCTATTGATATGTCTTTTCAACATCTAAAATGTTTCTCAAAATTGAAGAGGCATAGCAGCTTTAGTTGTGTAGTAAACACCAACCCTGTTGTTATGTCGCCAAGATCATTCTGTTTCTTCTGGCTTTAGGAAATAACCCAGAAAATGGATGATCCAGACTATATTGCATAGCACTGATTCTCAAGTGTGGTCCGGACCAGCAGCGTCAGCATCACCTGGGAGCTTGCTAGAAATGCAATTCTTGGGCCCCACGCTATACCTACTGAGTCAGAAACTCTGGGAACGGGGCCCAGCAATCTGTTTCAACAAGTCTTGCAGGCGATTTTGATAGATGCTCAAGTCTGAGAGCCACTGTTACAAAGCAATATAAGGGCACTGTCTTAACTCAGCAGACTTGAGACAGTACAGCATATCATTTGGTTTTCTTATACCTTTCTTGAAAACAGATGTTTCTGAATGAATACGTTATTCTAAGAAGGAAGAATACCTTTCTCATGAATGTAATACAAAGCCAACAAAAACCCAACACAAACACAAACTAAAAACAACTATATCTAGTCGTATTTTGACTTACAATCAATTTTAAAAGTGCAAAACTTTTTATTTGGAACTATTTTCAGGTTTACAAAAAAGAGATACCAGAATAAGTACAAAGAATGCCCCCATACCTTTTACCCAGGTGCACTTGTTTTTAACATTTTACCCCATTTGGTTTATCATTTGCTGGTCTGTCTGTCCATCTCTGCCTCTTTTTTTTTTTTTTTTACCATTTGAGGAAAAGTTGCATATACCATATGGTGCTTTTACTCCAAAAACTTTATTTCCCATGAATGGGAATATTCCATTAGCAGACATGCTGCAGCTATCAGCTTGAGTACATTTAACGATACAGTACTTTTTATCAGATCTGGTATCCATATTTCAGTTTTTTCAACAGACTCAGAATAATCTTTCTAAAAGCACTTTTCTTCTCCAGTGTAGGATCTAGTCTAGGGTCATGTAACACATTTAGTTGTCATGGTTCATGAGTTTCCTATACTCTGGAACGTTTTTATAGCCATCTTTTGTCTTTCCCGACACTGACTTTTAAAAGAATATAGTCCTTTAAAAAAATAGAATAGTCTTCATTTTAGGTTAATTGGGTGTTTCCTCATGATGAGATTCAAGTTACCCATTCTCACTTGGAATATACCCAGGTGCAGCTATGTCCTTCTCAGAGTATTATCTGTGGAGATACATGTACGTCTGATGATTCTGAACAGAGAAGAGGTACTAGGCAGGGTTTATAACTTAGAAAATATGTTCATGAGTCTTATTTGTTTTCATTTGTGTAGGAAACAAGTCATGGGAAATTCTTTTTTTTTTTTTAAGATTTTATTTATTTATGAGAGAGGGAGCATGAGCATTAGTGGTGGGGGAGGGGCAGAGGAACAAGGAGACTCCCCACTGAGCAGGGAGCAAATGTGACGCAGGGCTGGATCCCAGGACCCTGGGATCATGACTTGAGCCGAAGGCAGATGCTTAACTGACTGAGCCACCCAGGCACTCCAAGTCATGACCAATTCTAGAAGAAGAGCCTATTCTCCATTAGTGTTGAAAGAGGAATGGTTAAAATATATTGGAAGAGGAGAGATTATTTGGATCCCATTTTTTAAGTGTAATTTCAAAGCACAGGCAGATCACACACACACACACACACACACACAAAAGAGGGGACAAAAGAGAGGAGAAAGAGATATTAATTGAATTTTGGTGAAATCTGCATGATTTAAAGCTCTAGAAACTAGAGATCTAAATGTGTAAATAAGAAGTATGAGAAAGAGTGACACATTTTGGAATAGTCATGCTATTGGGTGTGTGTGAAGTTACACAGCACGAGGAGACCCACACAGAGATTGACCAAGCTGAACTTCCAACAGCTCAAGTATCATCCTTTGAATGTATACCTCTTTAGAGTCTAATCTACGGGGCTTAAAATTGATCATATTTCAATATGTACATTCATTTCCATGTACTGGGAGTGATGGTTTAAAGAAATATATTCACAGCTCTTATGAGAGTTCCAAAACTTTGCTCTTGACCAGTATTTTCCCATATGGAAAATTACAGTTTTATAAGTCTTAAGTAGATCTGGAAGGACTTTAGAAAAAGTTTGGGTTTCTGCAAAGCATATTAATTTGTTGAAAAGTGACTGGGCTTTGTTTCTTGGAGAAAAACACTTAGTATGCTGATGAACAATGCTATTGTTCTCAAATTAATGGAAAAATTTCCATATTCTGCTCTTAATACAAGACTCCGGAAAACAGAACCAGTTAGTGAGCTGTCTGTGTGCAAGAGGGAGCTGCAGTTTTATAAAGGGCTCGTGTATTCCTTTGATTTACTTTTGGAAACATTGGGAAAGCATCACAGTCTGCATACTTCAGCACTTTTTAGAAAACATTATTCTCTGTCCTTCTCTGATTTTGGCTCATTCTGAAAGGTACTAGAAATAGTTTGTGCTGTATTAGAAATTTTAGAAATAGTCAAATAAATGAACAAACTGACTCATGGGTTCCCCCCCACCCCCGAATAATGCCTATCTAAAGTCTAAAAAAATTTTTTTTTTTTTAAAGATTTTATTTGACAGAGAGAGACACAGCGAGAGAGGGAACACAAGCAGGGGGAGCGGGAGAGGGAGAAGCAGGCTTCCCGCTGAGCAGGGAGCCCGATGCGGGGCTCGACCCCAGGACCCTGGGACAATGACCTGAGCCGAAGGCAGACGCCCAACGACTGAGCCAGCCAGGCGCCCCTAAAGTCTAAAAATTTAATGTTTTATGTATTTTGTCTGGGTAGGCTTCTAGCAGGGGCCTTCTTCAAAGGCAAACCAGTCTCATGTTCCTCTGTGAAAGGGCTCCAGGTAAGTACATAATGCTCTAGGCCCTGAGGTGTCATACTGGCCAAGATGCAGAGAGCACCTTTAGTATGACGGCCTTACCCTGAGCTTGGGAAGATCCGGAGCTACTTACCCAAGCCCGGGGATGTGTGGACATCATGCTGCTCACTTAGAACCAGCGTATCCATAGTGACACCTTGGGGACGTTGGAGACACACCAGATATCAGCTACCTCCAGGTTCTTTTGCAGGCGCTACTGTTATGACAGTGATCTTTGCACCCTGCTCTGCCACTTCTCTGGGGATGCGCAGAATTCCCTCCCAAGCCCCAACTTTGGTCTTGTCCACTGGGCAGATGTTTCCTTTCATATAAATCCCATGTTATGTGCATACCCTCTCCCCTCCTTGTCTTTTCTGTCTATGCCCCAACATCTAGCATCCTTCCTTTTCCCTTTCTTACTGTAATGCAGCTGAGATTGTGAGACAGCAGACCACCAATGTCAAGGCCCTCCCCTCAGCCCCCTTGGAGCTTGTCTCAGGCTGATATTTCCGACTTATAGCATTTTAATAGTCTTGGCATTCTCAGAAGCTTACCTGACCCATCTTTAATACAAATTATATTTCTGCCACCAAACCCTGATGTTGACAAATGTGCATTAGCAAGTAGCTGGAGGTGCCATGAGGGCTGGGTGATTTATTTCAGTACTTCTTCTAAATACTTGAACTTTCCAAAAATAGTCATACCTTTCTCTCTCTTGCCTTCTCCCTAAAACGTGCCTTTATGCTAGGTGCTATTTTATGACAAAGCAAGTAGGAGGATTCCAGGTGTTTAAAAACCCGCTGCCATCGAGCAAAAATGAGAAACCCAGGGCCGTGGTCTATTTAGCATCCTACTGGGCGTCTCCTTTTCTGTGCAGGCTGGCTACATGTCTGGGATGCTGGTTCCTGTAGGGGTCGGGATAGCCGGAGCCTTGTTCATCTTGGGAGCGCTCTACAGCATTAAGGTTATGAATCGCCGAAGGAGAAACGGCTTCAAAAGGCATAAAAGAAAGGTATGGAGCCCACAACAGCAAAACCTCATCCGCTTCAGAACATGCCTCGCTTTTCCAATTTGCTTAATAAAGCACACAGGGCTTAATGAGGCAGGCATGGTATTGACACGCCCAGTGGTTTGGATTAGCTGCTGGGCTTTGGCTGCGTGTGTTGGGGTGCCTTTTAAAGGGGCCTGTTTTTCAGTTTTGCTCTGCAGTGGAAAGGGTTTAACGCTCTTCTGTTTTTCTTTCTCCAGCAGAGAGAATTCAACAGCATGCAAGACCGAGTCATGCTCTTAGCCGACAGCTCTGAAGACGAGTTTTGAATCTGACGGGAGTTTCACTGGATATTCACCTGTGTTATTATTTTACTTTTTATTTGGGGGGCAAAAGAAGAACTGCAGCCTGCCACATCACTGCTCTTAGGCCGTCGGGCTCATTATCTGCCAGGCAGTAGATTTCTCTTGTACTGAGCAGGAAAGGCATGTTGTAGACTCACTGTAATATGCCGTGCTTGTTTTTCTTTGGTAGTGAATTTTCCACAACCATAGGCTATCACTCATCAATATGCAGCGCACATGTTGCTCACTAGAAGTTGCTAGGTAAATATTTTGTATTTTTCCAAAGGGCCTTTCCCTTGGTTTACCTGCACTGAGCATAACGATTATTGCTGCCAAGGCGTATGTTGACTCTGAAATCGAAATCTTAACAGAGAATAGCTCACAATGACTGCGTTCGGCCCACTTGAGGCTGTAGGCTTCTGGGCCATGGTACATCCTACGTTTGCATCAAAACGAGCAGCAAGTTGGAATGAAATCTTCTTTGTCAAGAAGATCTCTCGGCACATTAGGATTATGTGTAGATTTGTATCTATCTTGCATTCTATACTCCAGTCTCCCAGTTTTATTATTTTGCATCTTCTGTCTTATTCTCATTCTTGGCAGGAAAAAGAAATGCACCAGAAATAACGCATTAAATGGACTCTCAGTCTTAATGTAAACTTGCTTTCTTAAATAGTGTAATTGAATCTGACAGACGTATCCATAGATGCTTACATGTTTATCAATAAGAGGTGTTCTTTTTATGTATCATTTGACTTTGCAAGAAGAAATGAGGAAGAAATCAAGAAGAAAGTGAGGCAGGTAAGCTCTCAGAGCATTTCTATCTGCCATTCACTATTGTGAATTATTCAGAGCATTGCTTTGCTACTTCTGGGGGCTTGGCCATGGAATGATGGGGCCACCGTTGGTTCTTATTTGGCTTTATTAGAAAATGGACATCCTGTGGTAGATGCAGCCTCAGTGGCCAGAGTCCCAGCCTCTCTCAGGGCATTCCCTTTTGGGGATGTTGGCCTACGCTAGATCATTTCTCATTTCTTTTGGAGTGTAATTCCTTGCCCTATCTTTTGAATCTGAGTATTTGAGTTGAATTTTTAGGTAAAGACATGGCTCATTTGCATGGAAGACTAAAGGTTCCTGGTAACACTGTCCTTACTGCTTGACACATAGAAAACTTGTTCACAACTATGGGAGCCTGCTCTGCTGTATTCGAGGCAAGCTGCACAGTTATTCCTCAGAGCTACTGTATGGGGTAGGACAGATGTTTTTGTTCTCTCATTTGACTGGAGACAGAACTGAAGCAGAGAAGGGGAATGATTATCCAAAATTATCTCCAGGAACAATCAGGACAAGAACCCACTTGGACTCAAAACCGTGTATCCCGATCATCATTCAATGCCCTTCCACATACTTTGCAGGAAGCAGTGACATTTCAGAGTCCTTCTTTAAAACCAAGATTCTAAGGAAATACAGGAGACCCTTGAACAACATGGGACTGTGCTGCATGGGTCCACTTCTACGTGGATTTTTTTCAAGACAGTACAGTACTGTAAACATGTTTTCTCTTCCTTAGGATTTTCTTAACATTTTCTCTTCTCTTGCTGACTGATTGTAAGAATACAGTATATAAAACATTTTATATGTGAAATATATGTTCATTGGCTGTTTATTTTACCAGTAAGGCTTCTGGTCAATAGTAGGCTATTAGTAGAGGTTTTGGAGAGTCAGAAGTTATACATGGATTTTCAGCTGTGCAGCGGGGTTTGCACCCTGAACCCCTGTGTTGTTCAAGAGTCAGCTGTAGTTGGTTGGCCAAGGACCATTTCACATGAATTCCTGTCTTTGTTAAATGAACAATGCCTTACAAACTTCCCTCGTACACAAGTTCTTTTCCTCTCCCACCTCACGATTTCCTTCACAACCACATAAATTTAAGTATCCCTCTAGAGAACTAATAGAGAAACCTTTCTAGAATCCATTCTTGAATGATAGCTAGCTTACAAGAATGTTTTCATCAAATAATTTTTTTTTTTTTTTGCCAAGAGATGTAAGCAAATGTGTGAAATTGGTCAGGAGAAAATGAGAAGCTATATACAATCAAATAGAAGTTAACAATTGATAAGTAAGCTCACGGTTAGGTTTTAAAAATAAAATTCAGAACCATGACGCTCAGAAGTAATTTGTAATTTCACGAGCAGAGACATCCTGCTATTGCATAGGGTATGTTTGCCTTTTTTTAGAGCAGCCCCTTGCTGTGAGTGTTCCTAAGGTTAGGGGGAGGTGGGCATGATGTGGTTTCTGTATTCTTGACAAGCTATTTATAGCAAACACACAATAGGCCATTTCATTCAGCAACACATGGGCGAAGCTGATGGCTATTAATGCCTTGGGCTACTCGTAGTCTGTAGTTTGAACTAGATCATGCCTAAGAGGTTGATCTTTCAAACTATAGAGTGATAAGGTCACAAATAATGGACACGTATTTTAATTTATTCCAGAAGGCTATGGGGATGACGTGTGTGCATTTAGGCCTCAGCAGAAATGGCTCTGTAGTCCTTTTTGGGACAGGTGACTGTTACAAGAAAAAGAGATGACTTAGATCACAGTGGAGTTCTATACAAACCCATTTCAACACTGGGTTGGTGGAAGGTTCTGGGATGTGTTTATTTTGGCCATTTTCCTCCCTGCCAGTGATTGTGGAACACGGATTTTCAGTGGTTGGCTGAAGTTATTCAGAGGAAAGGAAAAGGTTGTCATGTTCTAAACAGAACCCGAGATTAGGGGTGCTGCCACCAGAGGAGGGCGCTGAGCTAGTGGTTATACCGTAGTCCGATTAAAAGTAGTAAGTCAGGCACCAGGTTTACCTAAAATAAGTCATTTGTCTGCTTATATTTGCACATTAAAAATAAAAAGGCAACTCTTGATTCTAACAACTAAGCTTAAACCATTCAGCAGCACAACAAGGAAAGCTGTCTGGCAAGGGGTGCTGTTAGCTGCAAGGTTCAGTTGCTAACACCTTCCTTTCTGAACCATATTTACCCCCTCAGACCTGCATGTGTCCCAGTGCAGGGGCAGGAGAGGTGGAGGCAGAGTTCCCCAGACTCTGGCTCCTAAGAATCATACTCGTGCAACACACAGATTCCAAGGCCCTGCCCCAGACCCAATGAGTCAGAATCTCCAGGGGAGGACTTTGGGATTCTTGCGCCCAGGAGTTAGAGAACAGAGCTGGGAGGGCATCTATCTAGAGAACAGCTTCCTTATTAAAGACAAGGGAGAACAGGTCCCTTGTGGAAGAAACCCTTTCCCTAGTCAGCTATCCAATAAATCACACCTGCATTGGTGGAGAAAGGAAAACAAAAGAGTAAAGGGTAGAAGTTTCTAGAAAGAAAATGGAATGCTGGGTCAGAGAGAAAAGCGTTCCTCCCATGTCCCTGATGCCTTTTTCTCTAATCAGAAGATAGTACTTTTCTTTAAACCTCTTCAGATTTTCCTCTCCCGTAAGTTGCTTCTTTCAGTAGCTGCTGGCTTAATTTATATGCAGTATTTGGAGTTAATTAGTATCCCAGGGAAACAGATTCCCTTAGCAATGCTTTAGCCTTGGCTTCAGCTCATAAATTGCCTCAGATACAGTCTTCCAGAAACATTTCTTAAAGTACCTGCATCTCACATAGGTCAGTAGTGTTGTGGGGAAAATTTTAGAGCACCGTTTTGGAACATATTTAAAGTAGCTTTAGCATGGTCAGTCAAAGCTTACTCTTTATTTTGTTATTTTTTTTAAAGGCTAAGACTTAAAAGTCAAACGTTACAGAGATATCAGAAAATGATGTAGAGCAACAAAGAACATTCTGAATGCCTGGTGCTTCTCTCCATGCTCCTCCAGATATCTCCTTCATGTGGAAATCCAGATGAAACCCCTTATTTGGAATCATATCCACATCTTGGGGAGAGAAGCCTCAAATCATCCACGGGCATCATGATTTCTGTGGATATGAATAATCAGTGTTTCTATCAGCTGCCAAAAAGCAGCTTTCGGGAGTAAGGTATATTGTCTGGCACAAGTTTTTAGCTGCGTGGCCTTTTGGCAAGATAGGCTTTGTTATGACTACAGGGAAATCTGTTGAAAAAGAAGTCTCTACTTTTTAGGGTATGTGAAGGTATGGTTGCAAGGGAAGAAGTGTGGGCAGAAGAAGGAAGAAAAATCTTGATGCAATGCAGATGTAAACATGGCACAAAACGCTGGAATGTGCTGAAGGAGGCCAACGTTCTGAGTGGACTGATGCTTGGAAAAATGATAAAGAGAAGCAAGGAGAAAAAGGCATATGAGGTAGACCATTGGCGGGGGAAGGGGCCCTAAATCTAAATTTGTTTTCATCCTCTCCCTCACAGAAAATTCTACACCAGGTAGAATGGACATGAGTGGGAGGGGATTGAAGCCTGAGACTGAGGAGACCAAAGGAGCTTCATTGCTTTAAGTAAGCTTAAGCTCAGTTAAATATCTTTCTTAATTACACAGTTCAAATAAGTGAATATAAATCTCTAGAAATAGGAAATCATTTGAAAACAAAATAATAGTGCTGACCTAATAAAAGCCCCTTATTTGTACGTTTAGCACCCCCCATAAGACACAGACCTTTCTGGGGTCTGTTTGCTCTGCTAATGATCAATTTTGGTAGCCAACATAGCTGGAAACATAATTCTGTTGCTTAAGTTCTACATGCGACAAAAATAATCAGCATTTATTTTGTAAACCACTGTTAGCCATACAAATGCTTTGGGATTACCCTATATTGGGTAATCGATGCATCTAATTCCCTATTAATTAGCTTAAATTTCTACTATGTGTATATAGGATAAAGGAGAGGAAAGAAGAGAGGAAGGAAGGAAGGAAGGAAGAAAGGAAGGAAGGAAGGAAGAAATTTCCTCCAGGAAACAGCAGTAAAATTGCTGGGTCTACTAGGGAGGTGAGGGTTGGGGTTGGGGGGATACATGCAGTGCAAAATATGAGGCTGATCCTAAAGAGTCTGCTTGCTTATATCAAGGAATTAGGACTTTATTTTGAGGGCGTTTAGAGGCATGCAAAGATCTTATGCTGGGAAGTGGTGCAGTCAGGGCTGAGTTCATGGGAAGACTGGATTGGCAAGGTTAAAGTAGAGTCGGGGAAACCAGTCATGGGCTGGTGCTGCAGTGTTGGTGAGAGGTGACTGGGACCTGGACCAAGGCTGCAGGAGTGAATGGAGGGGGAGGATGGCTCCCAGAGGCGTTCAGGGCAGGGAAGCAGAAGGACTCGGGGGTTAATTAGATGTTGAAATGAGGGAAAAGACAGTGGTTAAAGCTGACCGTGGTCATGGCACTTTTGAGGCTCTCCAGAAATCATGGAGTCTCGTGTCCTGGCTTCTGGGGGACTGACCCTATGTTATCCCAGCATAGCCAGCCTGAGAGAAACTAACTTACATGCTGCCAAAAATGTGTAGGCAACTTTCACTTTCTACATAGTGTATGTAAGTACATGGTCATTCTCTGTAACTTTTAATAGAGGTTCCAAAGTAATAACTTTAATAAAACTTAAATGAAACATCTGGGAAAACCCTCCAAATACCTTTAAGTGATTATATTACTTTGGTTAAGCCCTAAGTATGAATTACTATCTAGTATCTGATTGTCTCTCTTGCTTTGAAAACACTAGTAAGAGTTTCTCATTTGTTGACATGAGAACCAAAGCTCTGGATCTTTTTTTTTTTTTCCTTTTTCTTTTTTATTCATAAGAACCAACTTATGCATTTTATGCCTATGGAATGACTTTCTAATTATTTTTCAGTTTTATTGAGATAGAGTTGACATGCAGCCCTGTGTAAGTTTAAGATATATACGGAATAATACAGGTGTTGGAAAGTGATTACCACAGTAAGCTCAGTTAACAGCTGTCTCCTCACATAGTTACAAAAAATGTGTTTTCCTTGTGATGAGAACTTTTAGGATCTTTTCTTAGCAACTTCCAAGTACACCACACAACGGTGGTAACTATAGTCATCATGTGGTATAGTACATCTCTAGTACTTATTTATCTTATAACTGGAAGTTTGTACCCTTTGACCACCTTCCTCCAGTTTTCCCACCCACCCCACCCCATTCCCCAGGATCTTGTTTTTCTTGAGAACAAACTTAAGAGGCTTTTTTCAAGGCTGGTCTGTGTGAGGCTACGTCAGGGTCTGAGTGCAGCCATAGAGCAAAGCAGGCTCCGTCTCCCGGTGCCGAGCGGCTTCTGTGAACTTTTGACAGTTGTCACGGGTGATCATCAAGTGGTTAATCTTCCTTAGCAGATGAAAAATAAAGCAAGTTTTCCATGGTTGCCATGTCAACCCAAGGCCAGATTCTGGAGGGCTCAGGGCAACAATGTAGGATTGAGGAAATGCAGAAAAGCACGAGAAGAAAATAATGATCACTTTAGTCCCACTCCCCAGAGACAACCATGAACATTTTGGGCTCTATATTTCTCATCTTTTCCTCTGTGTATTTATGATATGTTCTGTATACCTACTTTTATTTGTACACAAAAGCAGGATTATAATTTACATGCTATCTTGTTACCTCCCTTTAGCTACAATTTTTCATAGCTGTTTCAAAGAAATAAAGAGGAGGGGCACCTGGGTG